TTTGAAGTAGCTTTTTTTAATTCGTTTGTCGTGATGGCCGATAGATCACTATGCTATTTTCTGTTCGTCTTTGATTACATAAAATTTCAGAACAGAACATAGGACGGCTGTTATCTTTTTTGAGTTCGTGTAGTTGACAGCCACTACCTCCCAGCACTAATTGCATATTGTAGGTACGCCGCTAAACGCATATCCCTACCCTACTATTGTATACCGTGTTTCCTTAACAACAGCAGGATACCTTGTTAAGGTATCGCCCTACCTCGAAATAATTTGAAAGTGAAAGTGACCTGATTTCTGTTAGCAGGCTCTCCATATCACGTCTGTCATTGTTCTAAAAATACTGTGTATAACGAAACTATAAAAATATGCCAGGACGAAGCTTCATATCACTATAGCAGCAATGAACGCGTACTTTAGTGACAGAGTTGCCAAATCAATGTTAAGTTAACAGTTGGACTTACGATAGTTGCGATTAACTTCTGAGTCGCACTAAATTAACTTTAATTCAATTAATTAAAACCAACATTTTCTAAATTAACCTACCAATATTCGTGTCTGCAGGCACAGAGGTGCAATAGTGCTGGTTGAATTTAGTAGAATAAACCGACTTCTGATGATGCACACGCTTCCTTAACGATTTGAAATAAGATAGTCTAGAGATTATGTTTAACTTCAACTTCCACTGCTGATATTTTTTCCTAGTATGCAATTGGACACATCTAATTTTCTAATTTGGAAAAATTTCCTTGTCAGACAAGCAGTTAGATGTTCCCATACATGAACGCAACGGGAAGTTTTAATGGCTCCACATATGAGATATGTGAACGAAAACTAACTTCTATGCATATATATAACTTGACGCTGCTAGCAATGAAGACGCAGCTTCATTCTCAGTTCGTCTGCTGGGGAAACGATCTCGAACGCAGTAATATCGTCTGCTGTTATCGTCGAAATAACTGAAGTTTTCATTTCGGTAGCTTTGTGACGGTGTATAACGCTCTCGAGGGTAGTCTCGGGCTGTTGAGTACTGGCATTTGTCGTCTGCCAGCGACGTTTACGTGACGAAGTGGCACTCCTCCGTGCTAGTAATACCTCCCTAACGTCAATTTTATCATGCGGCCCCCCAACGTGTGTACATCTCTCGACTTCAAAATCCTTTGTGCTACAAAAACAGCCACTACACACACACAGCTAAGTATCATAGTAAACAACAACCAAGCTAGATAAACCTACTACAGGCATTGTCCTGACGGTCATGGTCAGATTCTTCTTTATTGCCTGTGAACTCCAGAGCCTGTAAGGGAAGTGCAGCGTGTAGCATAGTATACTGCTATCAGTTATCCTGCAATCCTGACAAAAAAATCAAGAACTAACTCCGTATCCCTCAAACTTTTAACGTTGAAGCTCTTGTTCGAATATTGACGACAACAACAAGTAAAAGACTTTTCATAGTGTCCAGTTCGTGGGTTAAAAAGCTAGGTCTAGTTGTAATAATTTTCTTCTATTCTATGGTCATCTGCGATCGAATCGACCACGAACGCTTGATGGACCGGTAGATGTCGCTCTCTGAAACGACTTCATGGCGATGTGATGATAGATGAGTGCAAAAGACTCGCGTTACAGTCGGTCCAGCATTAGCCAAAGCTCGATTGCACCACTTACGAATCTGGACCCTCGACGCTGCTTCGGTGAACCGGCTGGAAGGCATCACGTACCCAAAATGTATTCATGCAGTTATTCTATTATTCATTGGTCGTCGGATATTTGGGTGCAATGCAGTGTCTAGCTGCTACAAGGCTTGATGATCGAGTAGATCAGCCTTGAAGAGAGAGGTCGGTGTGTTAGCCCCTACTTGGCTGTGCGGAATAAGCGGCAGAATTATAAACAGCGATGGAGCAGGACGCCCCGAAGAACGAAGAACTAGATAGAGAAACGAATAGGTCTCTGAGCTATGGCACTAGTGACTAAACCCAATGCCCTGGGCTTGAAAAAAACCGAAGGGACATCGAATGGGTAAATAGGGTGTAGGAGACATGGTTGTGGCCGCGGTGGTGAAGGAGTCTGACAGATTACTCGCGACGTCAATCGATCAAAGCTGATTTTTTCAGTTTCCATGAGCCAGTTATGTAGACGGCTCATCTTACAAGCACAAGACGGCAGCATATGTAATGCTGAAGAAGTGGGAGACTGAGAATGCCCAAGCGACGGCCAACGACTTAGGCCTGAGGAGTCCAGTGATTCGTGTTCAGTCACGGACATCAGCCACAGACGACCATCGACCGGAATGCGACCAACGGTAGTCATGCATAGCGAAATGCATGTACGGATTAAGCTATTCCCCTTGCATGTTCAAATTACATGGCCGTTTTAATTGTTTACACCGACGTTATTGAATTAGGTGCTGTCATTTGCCGTACTCATACAGATGGTCGTCGTGCTCTTGTCTGGTAGGAATGTTCTTAACTGTGGTACAAAACGTCAGATTTTATACGAAGTAAATATCCCTTATTGAATTTTAATGGAAGTTTCATTCGGACCGATTTCTCAAGGCTGAAAATAATTTGTGTAAGGATGTTCCTTTCTTTGACCTAATTCAGCTAACATTCCTTGATTGCATAGGTCAATCTATCAAACGAAAAACCGCTTTATACGCTGTATCGTTTGCCGAACATACGAGCCACCATCTGCGCGTTTTTAAATCTTTGTTGGCCTTGTGTGGCTTCGCTGTTGTCGAGCTTAGCTTACCACGCTACTTGTAACGCGCCCTCAGAATAGTAGCTATTGCCATTTCGGCCCGATTTTGCAGTCAACAGCAACGAACTGTGGGAACGTCTTATAGTAACTGCTTCTGTCAATGCTGATGGCTACCGTAGGAGCCAGTTGATGCTTCCACCCTAGTGAAGCTTGATATTGCTAGTTAATTCGGAATTTACTACGAGCAGATGCGTGACAGACTCCCGAGGCTGTGACGCACTTTGCTTTGCTCTGTGCTAGTTGTTTCCTGTCTGCACCTCGCTGACGAGACAAGACACCAACAAGCACCGATGCTGCGAACGAAACTGGAGTGGCGATACTAGACCTGTCAACCTGCAGCCGACCCTACGGCCTAAGAGCTGTTACAACAAGGCTTAAGACATGGGCGAGACAAGGGGTCTAACCGGCCGTGAGTCAAGGACAGCTGCCACGCGGTGTACCTCCAGCAATCAAGCCGGGGGCTCGCGCGCTAGCCCAGAGAATTTAAAGATTGATAGAAAGCTGTCGACTCAGGCAACTATAAGTAACTCCAGCCTGAGGACGTAGGATATTGGGGATCAATGATGGTAAAACTGGATCGAGTAACCAATTTAGAAGAACACAAGGAGGTAAATTCATTTTATTACTGTTTCGGCTAACGCAGACTTCTAACAACTGAATGCAAAGTAAAAAAATTGCATTCCAACATTTTTATAGCATATAAAAAAACATTGATATGCCCATCAAACCCTTAGTTCACTGCGGCTCTCGTTTTTGCTGCGGCAAATATGAAACAGCTTTTGACAACGCGTAGTGATACTGTAGTTGCAACAGCTCTGTAGGTTATAGAATACCGCATGGCAAGGTATTTTAAGGTTTCGGTCACCAGCTCAGCCAAACTACTGCCAGGATCATTTGAGCCATTGCGTCGTCTGTCGTTTACCGTTGAGAGGAGAATGTAGTTAGCCTAGCTAAGGGCAGGCCGACTGACGGGCTTCCTTGGTGTCGCCCAACGTTGCCATAGGCCTCTCGTTGCCTCGTTCGGGTGATAAATTGGAGTACTACATGTACTCTCACTCTGTCAACGTCATCTAGTCACCCATTCTTTTGCTCTCTCTGTCAGCTACTCCCTTTCTTCTTCTCGAAGACTTCTGTCATAGCCTCTATACCGTCACACTTTCTAGCTGCAGCCGCCACCGCCGCAAACAGGCCTCGAACTCTGAAGACAATGGCCTGTCTGTCTAGCGCGAGCTACCCCCGACAACCACTAACCCGCTATGCGTAAAGCGGTTCTATCCTGAAATCTCTTCTTGCCTAAGTGATCGTCCCAGCTGCCGAAACTTTCTCATGCGCTATTCGTATTATGAAGGCGACCTTCCTTAGTGAATTTCCGACAAGCGTAGCCCTTTCCTTGCTTGCTTTTGGCTGCCCCCGTTCTCGTTTCCGTTTCTCGGGGGAAGGAAAGGGAGAAAGCGCGAGTGAAAGGAAGAAAAGTAAGAGGTGACGGGGGTGCTTCGGGCTAGCGAAGAGAAACGTCGCAAAAGAGAAATAGGGAGAGTTCGCGAAGCCTCCGCGACATGCCGCTGTGCCTACGAAAAAGGGAAATTTGATGTATGTGTGTAATACCTTTTTCGAAGGTTATCCATCTTAATTCGCTACACACAGACTGGCAGGTCGGCAGGCTTCAGGAAACCGACGATCCGCCTTGTCCTTTCTCCGGAAGCCACCGAGAAAGGTTCTATGTGCTTTTGCCTCGCTTACAGCCGTCGTGGCCGGCGGCAGAAGTATACTTTGGACCCACCCACCCACACGTGCACACACAGTACCTCTGAGTGACACGGATACATTAAACGATGTGCACGAATAGTACGGAAAGAGAAGAAATGCCCGAACAGAGAAAGCGATAGCAAAAAGGAGAGATTATTGAGTCTTGGCTATTACTTTCATACACACACACACACACACACATAAACGGAAAACTCTGGAAAATGAAAATGGCAGCTTCTGGTGAGCCGTCGGTTGTACGGGATCGAGCGTTCCCTAGAAGTAGCCAATTTCGAGAATAACTAATCTGAAATACATCTATAAGTCACCTGTAGAGTGAAACTCGCATAAACAGTTCTGAAGGTGGCGCTCACGATCATCTGCCTCTTCGGGCTACTCAAAACGTATTGTCTAATATATTCTACTTAGAAGTTACTATTGAATAATATATTCTACTTAGAAGTTACTATTGAAATTAAGTATGTTTATTCATATTTTCCCCAAGTAGACCGATGTATGTCTCACATCTTCGTTAGATCCTGCCATAGAGACTGCACTGCGCTATGTTGTTCAAAAGCTTCTTTCGACCAGCATGGCGCAGCAGCGTTTGTTAATGTAAAAAAGTGCAGGAAAATATAGACAACAATGAATATCCCGTTTCAAGCAGATAGCTATAGATCCGTAATGGATCACGCCGTTATTTTACCCATTGAAATTTTTTTCCAGCTCTGTTAGTCAATCGGGGATTCCCAGACCTCGTCCTCCTATATATATATATATATACGTACCACATATGCACATACAGCTATATTCCGTTAGGGCTTATTTCACACTTCTACCAAATACTTATGTAGCTTCAGAGTAATTGCCTAATTTTTTGGCAGATCTGAGTTTTTTTTTTTTGGCTTCTCTCCATTTCGTTTGCACGACGCGTGATTCAATGCTGCTCGCGCAGTAAAAGCAGAGCGTTACTGTGCCGTAACGATAAGTTGCTTAGTTAGCATACTAGCAATGTAGTCTGCATGTCTTTCTACCACTATCACTAGTGCTATGTTCCGTCAATTTGTTTCGCTCAGGGATTTTGCACCAAAGAAATCAGTCCGAGCATCCACCCACAACGTGTACACGCAGATGCGCACATGCACACTCAGAGATAGATGAATCGTAGGTGGGACGTCGTTGCGTTCCCGTCGTTGCCTGTGTTCCCTTGTGGTGTCGTCCGCTCGGTCGTGGCTCGTTATTCCCTGCTCGTCCTTTCTCCGCAACTGTCTATTGAATAACGCACTAAGATGGCGACAATAGGATAGATCGCTTGCGTTGCCCTCGGGTGCCGGTATTGTTCAGTTATACTACTGCCGACGCGAACGTGCTAGTGAGTTTGATCAGTATTTTCCGCTCTCTATTGCTATGTGCTCTTGGACATGTGCTAACGTCGATGCCTGCAACGGCCAGATCTCGTTGTTGCTGTTATTAAGGACAAAAGCATATGAAAAAAAACCGAATTTAGAATCAGAAGCGCAGCCAGATCAATCGCTCCACTTAATATTAGCCTACGAAGCCCGTGCTTGCAACAGTGCTGTCCATTGGAGATCTTTGCGGAGGCTGCCTCTGGATCAGAAAGGGCTGACTACGGAATTAGAATCGCAAAAGCAATACTAATAACAACGAAAAATGAATAACTAGGTATAAACTAAGTTATTGAAATTAGAAAATCACAATAAAACTGAAATAAGGAAGAGATTGCTCCTTGATAAAAACAAACGATTACGATTACTCTGTATTGCAGGGGGATACGATAACAGCAGTAAAACAGCATTTGATCCAGGTTCAGTTAACCTCTATAAAATGTCGATCGAATATTCAATCATTTACGATAACACAATAGTAATGTTTTATATAATACAAAGGAAAATCACTGCAATACTTGGGTACATTCTTTAGGTGGGCGGGGTGGTAAGCGGAGGGCTTCGTTACGCCCTGTTAGCTATAGGAAAGTAAGCATAACCTTAAGTTCTAGTTAATTAATACAATCTCTCATCACTGTATTCCAAGTGCAGGCACGTATTTTGCCCTTCACTACACCAAGCTATATTAAAACATCAGATAAAGTATGTTCACCATGATTAAATGCATATAACAGACAATCTCGAAAAGAACATCTTTAATATTAAGCCAAATATTCTCAGCCAATAGCCTCATCCGGCCCAAAGATCTATTTCGAACCACCCCTATACGTAAAGTGCATGCTTCTGTTCATACCATCCGTACTCAGCGCTTTATCTGCTGAGTATACGTATTGTACATAAATACGATATTTCTCTATGCTTCGAGAGTTTTACGTCCGGGTTAGGCAGTTCATCAGACGGCATAAAACGATGTGTGTCTGTGCCGGATTCGAACCTATACCATACCGTATTTATGAGATAAATAAGCTAACCACATATCTATCACGAGGACCTCTACCGTCACAATTCCTTAGCTAAATGGCCTTTGAGAACCAGCAACCTCGATCACATAAGTTAAAACCTTTTTACCTTTTTCCATTAGTGATGAAAAACAGATTTGACTATTAAGGAGGCTTTAAAACGGTTACCTCGAACAATGGTAAATGCAGACTGAATTCATTTGTTGCTATAGTTCGAGTGTGCTTTTCATTAGGTGTAGGAAGCTCTCCATTACTTCCTGACCAACCTAAAACAGCTATCCGGTCTCCCGCCTAATCCCATCCCAGCTAGATCCCGTTCCTAGCTGCGACGGGTCTTGCGACAATCGTCTATTTTGCTTGCGGGGACTCTTACGTGCAGATAATACAAACCATCATTAAAGCAACCATTGCTTATTACCAAATAGCAGAAGACAGACCCTGCAAGAAAACCTAGGCATTCCGAACGAGAAGAGATTCCCAGTGAATCTCCATCATATACCACATACACACGCGTACACAGCGTAATGAACCGGATACGTGAGCACAACGAGTCGTCAAGCTGTCGCCCATCACCGACATTCGTTGACGTCTCCCTCCGCTGGTGTAGCGGGAATAGAAGAATGCCGATCGAATACCCGGAACGGTTTTGCCATCCTGAAGCATCGTGATGACGACACCAACAAGAACGAATACATATATCTTTGTCCAGTTGGCCCATTATGTTGATGAAGGTGGTAATTGTGATGGTGATGATTAATGATAATGCCATATGCTATACGGCAAACGCCATAATACCACAAGAACAAACAGGACGCCGCCCTCACTGCGGACATGACAGGGGGTCAAAGCGGGGATGTACCATATGTCATCAGGTCGCTATCCTGTATTATATATTCGCACTGACATAGGGCAACAAGATAATGTACGACGACAGCAGAACAGACTGGCAAGGGGCAAGCCGGTTGTTTGCCTATTTTCTCGATGGTATCACACTTGAATGAGGAGCAGGAACAGGTCGATTAGAGCTAACAACGGAGGACGGCGGCAGCGAAAAAGCGCTACAAAAAATAAAATTATGGATGAACGAAGTCTTAGCTGGGCGTATCGCATGCGACAATACATACGATACTTGGGACATAGCCTGGCACCGCTTTCAAGCCTGCCTAATAAGCGAACGAGAAAAATGCTTGAGCTTTACGCAGATCTCATTGCTATCTGTGTACTACGGGAAAAATTGGCCAGGTACAGTGATCTACATGAGTTATGAATAGGTTGCATTACCGTCCAAAACGTAGAAGACCATCAAGAAAGCGGGGCGAAAAAATACCGCATTTACATTGTAAAGGGCAGACTCGTAAAAATTACCTATATGTGCATCAACGTTGTACGAACGCATGCCCATTTCACGTATCGTATCTTTTCTCTTAGTTTGCCCATCAGACAGTCAACTGTTGTTGGGTCGTTGTTGTTGTTGTTATTATTGCTGTCTTTGCCCTTTTCACCCCAGATGTTGGGCTTAGAGACAGCGAGCGCTGAACTCGACTGTTGTCGTATTTCTATTACCGTCAAGACAAGAAGGGTAAAGCATTGTACTTGTGAATTCATGACATTTGCGATTCTGGCGTTGGTAACATGGCGGAGTGCGTGCCGAAGCGACTGTTTGTAAATACATCTTATGCCGTTTCGGCATTTGTTGTTGACGTGGAATTTTGACGGACGGCGTAGGAGACGTCGGGCCTGGTCGCAGAAGTGTAAGGACTTTTAAGGCGACGAATTTGCTTCATACACATGATGCCTGATGTGAGACACAATGCATTTACACAGTGAGAGGGACGACGTTGCGTCGCGTAACCGACCAGACGACACACTGATGACGACAGACAGCATCTCATAATCGTTAAAACGATATCATTAGCGAAGTTGTAGCCGCAAGTTTGTAAGGTATGCATTAGAGCGTTAGGCCTTTAGGTGCCATGAAGAGCTCAGCAACTGTAGTTCTGCCCAGTAATTTCGGTATGCTTTTACAACGTACTCTGTTTCTCGGTGGTTTCTGAACTCGTTTCAACCTATCAATTTGCAGTCTATCGACTAGCTATAAAGCACGTGACGTGCCGCTAGCAGGAGAATCAGTGTGACGCAAAGTTTCAGTATTGAATCTTCGTCTTAGCAGAATGCTACATCCTGCGTATTCGAGATCCGCGACAATGGTAGAGGTAAAAAAATAGAGCTACGACAATTAAAATATTGCAAATAACAAAAATATCGCTTTTATTGTGTTTGAATTATAAAAGCTCCCTCTTCTACTCACGTTTGATGAGCTTATACCTGATTGAGGTCATTGGTTGCAACAAGGTCAGCCATATTCATAGGACATGTTCTTCGGTCTTGCAGCAGCCCAACCTATTTACGTCTAATAAACAAGAAAATATGTTTTTGACGGCCTAGCAACTCGGTGTTTGATAGCAGTGCAGATTGGGCTGCTGTATGGCCAATCTTGTTGCTCAACGCGCGCTGTTCTTAACGGAACAGGGTGATGGGGATTCTCAATAACAACTCGCTGTTCCAACGGTCAACACATGCGTTTTTTTGTTGTTTATCATCAAAGTTGCAGCACTCCTCTCTCTTTTCGTTTGGCAGCACGTACCGGAAAAGCGATCGGGTGTCGCGTCGCGTTCTAAGTAATTCAATCGTACCGGCCTACAGGCAAGAGTAATTCAGCACTAATAATATTCTGTTTTGATTTACTGTACACGTAACAAATAAATGGGGATCGACAAGATAACTAGCTCGTACATCACCATTAGCAACAACGACGACCAGGTGAAACATCATAAGGCTGGGGGGCAAAACGATATAATAATGATTGCATAATAGAGCGCGTCTGCCATCAGCGTTGCGATCATCGACGACAAAGCTCGATTCAGGTCCCCCCACTCTGTCCGATGGCATTGTTACTGCTGCCGTTGTTGGATACGGAGGAAAGAGTGCAGGGGTAACATTGTTTTTTTTTAATTTGCATAAGAAAATACACGGGTCCATTGGCCAGCGCAGTAGTGCCTGTCTAGGGATAGTAAGACGAGCTGTTCCCGACAAAACAATAGCGAACGGCAGTGAAGGATGCTGCTAACATAATGCCCTGTTAAAACAACTATTGTGTTTCGCTTGTAGTTCTATAGAGTTGTCGCGTTGCTCGCACAAGGGTACGCATACATTATATCCTTACCTACAGGCATTTTCGCATGGGATAGGTGATGAGCTCTAGGGTAATTGTCTAATAAAAACAAAATAATCACTGGAAGGTCATTGTCAATACTAATCTTTCGTTGTCGATCAATCGACATACAGGCGATGTAAGCTCCCGGTTTATAATTCCTATAATTTTTCACCTTCGACTGCGGGTTTAATCAAGTGGGAAGAATTATAGTTCGGCGTAGGCTATAACTTACTCGTTCAGTCTTTTAAAAGGAGTACAATGTTTAGAGGTCTATTCTTTTTCGATACTACCGCAATATCAAATACAAGCATATTAATAATATTAAATGTATATCCTTGGATGCAACGCCTTCTGCACATCATCGAATATACTCGTAGCGGTCTATTACGTGTAGCAGATCCCCAACTTATTTTATTACATAGAAATAAACAGTTAACAAATGCACATGTGGACGAGATTTTTCCGTTGTGGATCACTGTTCTGCCAAAATATTATTAACATTGGAAAATATTGTTTGTCTACTCAACGTAATAACAAAAAAAAAGATTGCATGATGGAGCTTTGCTTTTAATACGGTATCCATACCGTATCATTATGTGGCTTAGATTCAGGTAATGAATACCATACCAAAATCAACAAGCCTATCTACATATATGTGCAGAGTAATCAAACCATATAGACATACACATATGCTGAAAAAAAGGCCGAGAAAATAGCAATCCAGCAACGCCAGTATATAAATAATACGGTAGTCGAAATATTATTAATAAGTGGTCACGTCAACAGGATGTTTTGTCGAGTAAATGTTGAATCAACATTTACATC